TGATCGGCTTTAGCAGTTAGTGCTGATTATGTTCACGCGCATTCAAGAACTAAAGGGTGAGGAGAATGCATCGTATGTATGAATGAGAGGAGAAAATTACCCCCTCGACTTTAAACGCTGGGTGGCGAGTGGCCCTTCAAGACACTTCTTGTGCAGACGTTGCTGCGGTACACTTTCTTTCACTGCCATTTTCAAAGTTTCATTGTTGCACTGTCTTTAAAGTCGGAGACAGAAATGTTGTAGGCCCGTGTGCTCAGATTTGGGGGCGCGTTAAAGAACCACAGGTGGTCGAAATTTCCGCAGCCTTCCACTACGGCATCTCTCATAATCATATGGTGGTTTCGGGACGTTAAACCCCACATATCAACCAAAATCTGTCTTTGAAATCATTGAGCAACTGGAACCATTTTTTATCGCTTTTCGCTCCCACCATTCTACGTGTCCTCACTTTCAATCTACGTCTATTTTCCACTTATAAAAGCTTCATAGCAGCTACGGTGGAATCATGATCAGAGAACGCCCCGCAATACTTGGGACGTGAGCAGCGTGCGTATGCCACTCGAGCTGCAGTCGACAACCACTTTATTGCTTATCACAAAGCGTTGGACCAGAGTTGAGGGCAAAAGGAGCCTGACGCTACGAAAATCACTTCGGCTGAAAGAAGTCAATATGTCACACTCCACACACTGCAGGAGTGTTTTCCATAGTGCGCGAAACTAAAGCGTTTTTGTAATGTTTTTTCGGAAAGTTAGAGCTGCGGTAAAAAAATATTTCTTCGGTTTAATTTTTATGTGAAGGAATTTGCTCGTCTGTGCAGCAACGTGCCCCTGCGCAGTACAAGCATAATCAACAAGTTACAGCCGTTTTTGTCTTTTGTATTTATAATCTTTCATTCCTGTTAGCAGCTCTGTCCTTGTTTTGGCTTAGAACTCTGATTTAAAAGATTTGAGAAAGAGCTACGCTGATCAATTCACTTCTGAGTTCCTTGTTATGAGAACCAGACATATTAGTGGGCTCATTCTTTCGATACACTTGTCTTCTATGACTCGGCAAACAAATAGAAGCTCAACTAGAGAGCTGCTCTACGCCACAGCCAGCAAAAATGCCCGCGGCTCTGAATTACAGAACTTCAAGCACCCGGCCGTCAGACTTACTGAGCAATCTTTGTTACGTACAATTTCGCAGTAAGTATAACGCTACCTGCTGGCAAAGTTGGTATTGCTTCGCTTCGTTTTTTTTTTTGTGCACGTAGGGTCAATCTTTGTTTGAAGTGACAGGAAAGCACAGAATCGGCGGACACTTCAGACGTTCATATAACCTAATGCCTAAACTTACTAGTATGACTTGCTTCTTCTACTGATGGAGTTGCCATCTAGCCTGCAGGTATGCTGCCGAGCTATACCTTTAACAGCGGTGGCCTTCAGGTCACGCGTCTGTCCGTAATAAGTCAAGCAAAATGATCACTATGATCAACATGCATCCGCTCTCATCGTTCTTTTTTTTTAGGGGTGAAGCTCTTTAGAGTGTGGTTCGCCTTCTCCGCTGTAGTAGTAGTAGTAGTAGTAGTAGTAGTAGTAGTAGTAGTATGTAGCCACCTCTGATTTATGAATTGCTCAATATATGGCGTTGTGTGTATCCTTCCAAACAAAATCACTAAATGGCATTAGTAGTTTTGTATAGTTGTCAATTTGGTTTTGTTGTCGGACGTATGGACTGACAGATGCTCCACCTGGCTCATCATCATTTACTCCGTAGATATGCTGGGAATTTTTTTTTCAATCTGAAATTCGATATAGTGTTGGCTCCCAGAACGAATGCGCCAAATTTTGGGGCTTGAGGTTTTTTTTTTCATTTTATTTTATTTCAAGTTCTCTTATTACATGAAAATACACAACACTGGTTAGACCCATAGCCACTGGCTAGTACGGGGTCTAAATAAATATGCATTTAAAGGAACAGATTGTGTTAACAAAGCAGATATTCTATAAGTACACTTCAATCATACAAGAAAAAAAGAGAAAATAAAAAATCGAAACAAAATATAAGAAGGAAACATATTTGTGATAAGTCATTTGCAGTATCTTGCAGCATTGTTCCATGCAAACAAGGGATTGTATGTATACAATACATCAAATACATAAAGATACGTATGCCATGTCAAGTATGATTTTGTTAGACATATAATCTATACATAACAAACTGGAGATTACAACGAGGTGTGTGTTAGTGTACCTGTTCATTTTTCTGCAGAAAGTATTTTTTAAGAGCACAGGCAAAACTTTTGCTTTCTTTTATTTGGCATGGTATATCATTCCAGACTTTTACTCCAGCAAATTGTAGCAATCGTTTGCCATAAACATTGTTAGTAGGCGGAAGATTGAAATTATGTAATGTGGCACGTCTGGTAAGGCGGCAAGAGGATGAAAATACTGATATATGAAAGGGCAGGTTATAAGAAGTGACATTATGGACGGTAAGTGCAATTTTTTCGCTGTCGTAAATTATCGAATGGTATGATTTCCATATTACGAAACAATGGCGCGCTGTGTTGATCATATCTAGCATTGTTTATTATTCGAAGTGCTCGCTTTTGTAGTATACGTAAGGGTTCTAGATATGTTTTAAAAGTCCATCCCCATGAATCTATGCAATATGCGAGGTGACAATGAAAAAATGTGAAATAGAGAATTCGGAGAATATTCCTTTTAAAATAATTTCTAGCGGTTAATAATGTACTGCATCCAAATCCCAGTTTAGCGCATACAGAGTTAATGTGGCTTTGCCAGTTTAGCTGGCTATCGACAATTACACCCAGATATTTGAATTCGTTCGTCTTCTCAAGCACGCAGTTATTTATTGTAATTCAAATGGACTCATTGCTTATATTTCGATAACGGGAGTGGAAAATAGTGTATTTAGTTTTCTTTGCATTCAGTGTTATTTTGTTCGCTATAAACCACTGACAAACATTTTTTAGTTCTACATTACTTTTATGCTCGAGATCCCTTATATTGTCTGCAGTAACAATAACGGCTGTATCATCGGCGTACATTAGCATCTCCGCCGGTGTCAATATGTTTGGTAGGTCGTTTACGTACAGTGAGAACAGTAAGGGTCCAAGAACGGAGCCTTGTGGTACCCCTGTGTGTATATTTAACAGGGAGGAAGTGAGATTATGCATAATCGCCATTTGTTGACGTTCGCTCATGTAACTAGAAAATAAGTCAAAAATTTTGCCACGTAAACCGTAGTGTCTTAATTTCATTAGTAATATATCATGGTCAACTGTATCAAATGCTTTCTTTAAATCAAGAAAAAATACTGCTACAAGGAGGTTATTATTTAATGCTTCGTTAATGTTTTGTGATACAGATAGTACAGCAGTGGCGGTGGAATGGTGCGCCCGAAATCCATGTTGCTCGGCGCATATTACACGATATTTTTCTAAGAAGACGCGCATCCGTTTTGCTAGAATTCTTTCAAATATGTTATTTATTATGCTTAAAACAGATATAGGCCTATAACTTGAGGGATCAGAGCGATCACCCTCCTTGTACACCGGTACTACTTTAGCAGTATTCAGACAGGATAGGTATGTTGACGTACGCAAGGAGGGGTTGTATATATGGCATAGGATAGGGCCTAAGACGTCAATATTGTCTTTTACTATCCGCGCTGTGATCCCATCTATCCCGCTGGCTTTATCGGCGAAAAACATTGAGGAGTGGAGGAAGAAAACTGCATTGCTAACGTCGGACCAATATTAGTGAAATAATGATCAAAGTTATCTAGAGTTTGTGCATCAATAGAATCAGGTAGCACGCGTTGTCGTGGTTGATTGCCAACAACTTCGTTTACGATCTCCCAAGTTTTTTTAGAGTTGCCCTGAGCTTGTTCTATTAGGCGAGAGTAATATTCCTTCTTTCGCTGCCACGTAAGGAGCACGGATTTATTCCTGAAAATTTTGAACTGGCCAAGGTAATATTTATTATTTCTATGTTTCTTCCATTTATGATACCAAAAATCTTTCGTCTTCAGCAGGTCAAGGATTTCTGCTGTCATCCAAGGACATAGCGGGGTCTTATATGAGCGCACAGATACGTTTCAGCGGCTATTTCCAATGGCTCTGATAAGAAATTTTATTAAGTTCTGAAGTTCAACATTGACGTCATCGTTACATAGACTGTCAGGGTCAATGGCGAGAATGATGCTTCGTAGTAAATTGTAATCTATTTTGCCCTCTGTTGTGATACGTGGTGTGCTGCTTTTTCGTGTGTCGTTTATGGAAACAAAAACAGGAAAGTGATCTGATATCGCTTCATCATAAACGCCAGCCTTCATTCCAGATGTTATGTTCGTCAAAACATGGTCAATTGTTTTTGCTAATGTACTAGTTACCCTCGTAGGTATGTTTATTAGGTTACGAAAACTGAATGAGCTCAGTAACTGTGCGTAACTGGTATACTTAGAATAATGGGTGTCAATATTCATGTCTCCAATGATTACAACCGGGTTGCTATAATTCGCCGACAGATTAAAAAACGTTTCTTCCATCTTGTCTAAAAATCAGTCAATGTTTGAATTCGGGGGTCGATAAACGACGCCGATTATACCAAAAGAGTAGTCTAACAAAAAGAGCTTCAATATCAGCGGAGCTGCAATTCAGTGATGATAGCTCCGTAAAAGCGTAGCCACTTTTCATTAAAAATGCGACACCGCCGCCACACGAACAAGAATCACGCTGATGCGATACGGTTACATATCCAGGAACATGCACTGTCTCACCCTTCTTTAACCACGTTTCCGTGATCGCTAGTACATCAAAAGTGTGGACATGTTTTGATAGAAAAGCGAAAAGCAAGTTCACGTTTTTTCTTATACTGCGGATATTGCAGTGGAAGATATTAGTACACGTATCGCTGAGTAGTTGATCTACTTGAGGTATCGTGACTGCCATTTTATAACAAAAGGCGCTTCCGGTGGTCTATGTGCAGAAGTACCTATACTAGTTTCGCGAGGTCATCTTCACAGGAGATGTGAATGACCTTCGAGTTCTCCGATTTCCTTGCCAATACCTTTCCTTCAGAAACCCAGACGAATCGCCAGTTTTTGTCTTTTTTCCTCTGTATGGTCTTACTTAGCAAAACTTTATTCTCGAGACACAAGTGTTCGTTCACGAACACGGGTACATTTGTCTTGAAACCAAGCATCGCTGTGTTCAGCCTGTTCTTTCGTGCCGATTTTAGGACCTTATCACGCTTAGACCGCGACACAAACTTCACTACGATATTTGGTACATTGTTTGTCTTTGTTGGTACTCTGTGCACTACGTCTAAATCTTGACTGGTCAGCTCAACGCGCAAACAGTTAGCAATCTTTTCCACAACTTTTTCTAGGTCTTCATTCTCGGCAAAAGGAATACCTTTCAATTCAATATTGTTGCGCCTCGAATATTGCTGCAGGTCAATCAGCTGTTTTCTTGTGTCACAAAGCTCTTTCTTAATTTGCGCGTTCTCTTTCTGGAACTCGAGGTAACGGTTTTTTGCATCATTGAGGTCTTTGCGCAGCGATTTTATTTCTGTGTTCAGTTCATCGAAACTCTCACTTGTAAAGTTTACAGATGCCCTGAGAGATGCCAATTCAGCCTTTATAGCATTTTTCAAGGGATTGACTTTTTCCACATGAGTCTTGATATCAGCAACAGCATCAAGGAACTTAGAAGTCATCTCAAGCAGTACCTTTCCCAAATCTTTTACAGTACTGGGCGCTTTTTCGCTCAAAGCGTTGGCGAAATCTGTCAGGGCATCAAGTTTTTTTCCATCCTGTCGTCTTGTACACACTTCATTTAAAATTGCTTCAATACCATCAAAAAGGGTGGTTACATAAGGTGATTCAGGTTCAGAGCAAATCGGGAGCCGCAAATAGAAGAATTGTGCTTGCTCGCACTAGTGAAAAAAAAGAAGTCCCACCTGCAGTGTGCAGAATAATTAGTTAGACAGTCGTCCAAAGGCGGCTGCCTGATCTGCTCTGAGTGGTGACAGTCGGTGCTCGCTTGCTTATATAGTCGAAGAGGGCGTCACCATGCTCTCCGTGGTGCTGTAGCCGACATCACGTGGTCTGAGCAGTCGTTGGGTGCAAGAACCCAGGTAGTGATGCGTCGGCACGTTGCCCAATTGACGGCCCTAGTTCACCGTAGATATGATGAGCCAGGTAATCGCTGTCGTTCTCACCCCTGTAGTGTGCAGAATAATCAGTTAGACAGTCGTCCAAAGGCGGCTGCCCGATCTGCTCTGAGTGGTGACAGTCGGTGCTCGCTTGCTTATATGTCGAAGAGGGCGTCACCATGCTCTCCGTGGTGCTGTAGCCGACATCACGTGGTCTGAGCAGTCGTTAGGTGCAAGAACCCAGGTAGTGATGCGTCGGCACGTTGCCCACTTGACGGCCCTAGTTCACCGTAGATATGATGAGCCAGGTAATCGCTGTCATTCTCACCCCTGTAGTGTGCAGAATAAAAGTAGACATCGTCCAAAGGCGGCTGCCCGATCTGCTCTGAGTGGTGACAGTCGGTGCTCGCTTGCTTATATAGTTGAAGAGGTCGTCACCATGCTCTCCGTGGTGCTGTAGCCGACATCACGTGGTCTGAGCAGTCATTAGGTGCAAGAACCCAGGTAGTGATGCGTCGGCGCGTTGCCCACTTGACGGCCCTAGTTCACCGTAGATATGATGAGCCAGGTAATCGCTGTCGTTCTCACCCCTGCAGTGTGCAGAATAATCAGTTAGACAGTCGTCCAAAGGTGGCTGCCCGATCTGCTCCGAGTGGTGACAGTCGGTGCTCGCTTGCTTATATAGTCGAAGAGGGCGTCACCATGCTTTCCGTGGTGCTGTAGCCGACATCACGTGGTCTGAGCAATCGTTAGGTGCAAGAACCCAGGTAGTGATGCGTCGACGCGTTGCCCACTTGACGGCCCTAGTTCACCGTAGATATGATGAGCCAGGTAATCGCTGTCGTTCTCACCCCTGCAGTGTGCAGAATAATCAGTTAGACAGTCGTCCAAAGGCGGCTTCCCGATCTGCTCCGAGTGGTGACAGTCGGTGCTCGCTTGCTTATATAGTCGAAGAGGGCGTCACCATGCTTTCCGTGGTGCTGTAGCCGACATCACGTGGTCTGAGCAATCGTTAGGTGCAAGAACCCAGGTAGTGATGCGTCGGCGCGTTGCCCACTTGACGGCCCTAGTTCACCGTAGATATGATGAGCCAGGTAATCGCTGTCGTTCTCACCCCTGCAGTGTGCAGAATAATCAGTTAGACAGTCGTCCAAAGGCGGCTGCCTGATCTGCTCTGAGTGGTGACAGTCGGTGCTCGCTTGCTTATATTGCCACGTTCCATTTCCCAAGTTTTCGTTATCGTCCGAAAACACCACACGATTCTCAGCGCAAACCGCGCCTGCAGTTTTCGAGAAGGTTCCGGACTGTAGTAGATCATTTCGATAAGATCACGCCCACTTTGCGAACGGTACAGATTGTTCTGGAACCTACACCACCGCCAGCGATAACGCTAGAACATTCGACGGCAAGAGTATAAATGCCGACGCGCTTCGCCGCTTGTCAGTTGTTGATCGAAGGCCGACACTCCGTTCGCCGCTATCAGTCCGAGACTGCTATCTGTGCAAGACTACTGCTGTAATTGGACTTTCCGTTTACCAGGCACAGGTTCGCCCAAATAAACAGTTAAATCCCAACACGAAGTCTTCTGTCTTCGGCCACGTCACGACCCCGTGACATCTGGTGGAGGTGCTGCTTCGTTCATGTACCGGACGCCCCCGTCAAGCCGTGAACCCAGCCCACGTCGCGGAGAAGACACCGACGCCAACCAGGAGCAGCGAACAAGCCGCCGACAGCAAGGGCTACCACCGGAGTACGGGCTTCTACAAGACAAGGCGCGGAAGACCAAGGCCATGACCGCGACTGCAGCGACAATGACAACCGCAGCGTCCCAGCCCACGATGGTCATGCATCAACCCAGGGAACCACCAATTTTCTATGGGTCATCGTTCGAAGACTCGGAGTCCTGGCTAGAAACATACGACCGTGTGGCCGCCCTGAACCACTGGGACCATGACGAAAAGCTGCGTCGTGTGTTCTTCTATTTGGAAGACACCGCAAGGACCTGGCTCGAAAATCGAGAGTCCACGCTCCGAACGTGGGATGTTTTCTGCGGCGCATTCCTGCAAACGTTCGCGAGCGTCGCTCGCAAAGAGAGGGCCGCTGCTTTATTAGAGACCCGGGTTCAGCTACCAAATGAAAAGGTTGGAATTTTTACAGAGGAGATGACCCGCCTATTTCGTCACACTGACCCAGACATGCCTGAAGAGAAGAAAGTTCGTTTCCTCATGCGAGGGGTCAAACAAGACATCTTCGCGGGACTAATGAGGAATCCACCGAACACCGTCCAAGAATTTGTATCCGAGGCGACCACCATCGAAAAAACCCTGGACATGCGCACCAGACAGTATAATCGTCGCCTGACTCCAGAGTGCGCTGCTGCTCAAGCCAGTGACTCCGACAACCTGCGTGAAACGATCCGAGCGATCGTGCGGGAAGAGCTGCGCAAACTGTTGCCTTCGGCGCAACCTCAAGTGGATTCGATCGCCGACATTGTGCGAGAAGTTCGGCGATCGCTTCGAATTCCCCAAACACCGCTGCCCGAGCCAGAAACTGAGCTACGCCACTCCAGTGCGCCACAACGCTCCTCCCCGTCCACGCCGAAACGCCGCCCCGTCGCACTTCCGTCGCCAGACACCACCGCCGCCACCCCCCCCACCGACGACCTACCAGTCGCCAGCGGGCCAGCGTAGTGCGCCGAGGAAAACCGACGTTTGGCGCACCCCTGACCACCGCCCACTGTGCTACCACTGCGGCGAGGCCAGGCACACTTACCGCCGTTGCCAGTACCGACAGATGGGACTGCGTGGCTTCGCCATCGATGCACCACGTCCGCAGCCAGGAGATCGGCCACGTGACATCGCCGACTATCTGACAGGAACTCAATGGACACCACGAAGTCCTTCCCGTTCGACGTCGCCCAGCCGCCGCATGTCACCGCACCCCCGGCAGTACTCTGGCCCAACGCGGGGCCGGTCTCCTAGCTCGTATCCGGGAAACTAAGGGCAGCAGCCGGTGGAGGTGCGGTTGCTGCGCGACGAACTACCGAAGATCCTCCGACGACGACGACGCCGCGACGGAGCTTTCCGAACACAACGCCAACCAGGCAAAGCCCTGACGGCGAAAGCTCACTTACTGAAGGTGGTCTGACGACGCAACATGGAAGCAGCGGAACAAGCCGACGCAGCCGTGACCCGACGCCACGCCCTAACTGTAATGCGAGACGGCGAACTAGCGACCTCGACGTTCTTATCGACGGCCACAGTGTGACCGCTCTCGTCGATACTGGAGCTGACTATTTTGTCATCAGTGGGTCGTTCGCCACGAAGTTAAAGAAAGTTAGGACAGTTTGGAAAGGCCCTGAAATCCGCACAGCTGGAGGTCATCTCGTAACGCCTGCAGGAATCTGCACAGCGAGAGTCACCATTAACAAAATGGTTGATTGGGCGAGTTGGTGATACATGACTAATTATGAAATGGAAGCGCACAACGTAGAAGCAGACGGAAAGACAGGGACAAGCGCTTGTCCCTGTCTTTCCGTCTGCTTCTACGTTGTGCGCTTCCATTTCATAATTAGTCACCATTAACGGCCGTATTTATCCTACAGACTTCGTAGTCCTACAGCGTTGCTCGAGAGATGTCATCCTTGGCATGGACTTCTTATGCCTCCATGGTGCTGTCATCAACCTAAAAACAAAGTCGATAACGTTATCCACAGAAGCAGCCCTACCGCCGCGCACGCCGTCAGGACACCATGCCTTGAATGTGCTGGAAGAACAAGTCACCATCCCGCCTCGCTCAAGCGTCATTATTTCAGCCGGCGCTCCTAAATCACCTGACTTCGAAGGCGTCGTTGAAGGCAGTCAGCATCTGTTGGTCACCCGAAATATTTGCGTCGCAAGAGGAATTGCAGAGCTGCGGGGAGGCAAAGCAACGGTTATGCTCACGAATTTCAGCAATGAGTACAAACATGTGAACAAAGGAACAACGGTCGCATACATCGAAGAAATTGTCGAAGCCACCAGTGCTTTCGCCCTCACCGATTATGCGGAACCTGCTCAGAGGAACCAAGCCCCTCCCATAGCTTTCGACGTCAATCCCAGACTTCCGAACGATAAGCAAAAACAGCTCAAGGCCCTGCTCCTGCAATACGAAGATTGCTTTTCGTCGTCATCGAAAATTCGGCAGACCCCAATCACGAAACATCGCATCATAACCGAAGAAAATGCCAGACCACTCCGTCAGAGTCCGTACAGGGTTTCGACGCGAGAACGTGAGGCCATGAAGAGACAAGTTGATGAAATGCTGCGGGATGACATTATCCAGCCGTCCAAGAGCCCATGGGCATCCCCCGTGGTGTTAGTGAAGAAAAAGGATGGGACCCTACGTTCCTGCGTCGATTATCGCCGCCTGAACAAAATCACAAGAAAGGACGTGTATCCTCTCCCACGAATAGACGACGCACTTGATCGGCTCCACAACGCCAAGTACTTTTCGTCAATGGACATCAAGACTGGCTATTGGCAAATCGAAGTCGACGAAAGAGACCGAGAGAAGACAGCGTT